AGGCCGAGAATGTAAGTAGTGGTGAAGATTCTGATGAAGAATCTATGAATGAAGAAGATATCCAAGAGGCTTATGATACGATGTATGAGGAGAGTCTTAAGATTCTTACTAAAAACAAAGCCTTGAGTACGAAGAATAATGAATTTGAATTGGAAAATGAGAAGTTAGTAGCATACATTAAGGAGTCTACCTTGATCCTAAGTGAAGTCAAATCCATGAATGAAACTTTAGAGACTCGGGTTCAGAACCTCACCAGTGAGCTTGAGAAGTCATCTAGTAGAGTCAGCAAGTTGACCACTGAGAAAGAGATCTTAGAAATCCAGGTTAAGAACCTTTTGAGCGATCTAGAATATTCTAAGTCTCAATTGCTTGCCTTCTCTAGTGGTTCTGAAAAGTTAGATAACATTTTAGGAATGGACAAGCCCTGGAAATAAGGGAGGTCTAGGTTTTAAGGAAAATGGTACTAGTACTTCTAAGACCACGTTTGTCCCTGCAACTGACCAGCCTAAACATGTGTCTAACCCCGAACTTAAGGATAAGAGATTTGTTAGACAGAGGCCTACTAGACAGCGTAGGACCCGTCGACCTAGGAATAGACATCAGCGTCCACATACCTTTGGTCATAGGTTTATCCCTACATGTTTTCACTGCGGTGAGTTATGACACATAAAGCCCGGGTGTCATCATTTCCTGAATAGAAATAGAAATGAGAACTTGAATATAAATAAGAATCAGGATTATGTTGGTCAGATTAACTTCCTTACTAATCAGGTAAGTAAATTGGCCACGTTAATGACACAGATGATCGAAAATATTCCTATCACTAGGCAAGCTTGGGTGAAGAAAATTGATATGAAAAATTATGATATAGATCACGGTGCTCTTGAAGGTAAGAGCATTTGCATACCTAACTGAGTAGGTATTTTGGATGCATGCTTGAACTTTATTATTGATTTATGCATGCATCACATCTATTTATTTGTTTTCTAGGTAGAAAACTCTTGCATTTTGTTTTATTAATTTTTCTATGTGTTTGACATTTTTTTTTTTTTTGTGCTTGGTGCATTCATGCTTTAATATAAAAACAAAAAACAAATGAAAAATTGAAGAACAAAAAATGGAAATGGTAACTTTTTCACAGCATAATATATGACTTTCTTAAACTTACATGTTGTGATCATGTATGGACATAATTGATAAGCTGTAGCATAGTTTCCATTACTTGTTTAGGTTATTATGGAGTACTTAGTATAGGTGTCTTCATGTACTATCTGTACTGCATACACTATGAAATTGTGAGTGGGACTCTACCGCGTATGTGAGATTTGGGATGGCTATCACATATTAGTAAGGTGACTTTGAACATGAATTGACCATATTTATTAGTCATATGCTCAAGTTTTTCCCATTAATAAAATGCTCAATATCTTATATTCTTCTTTGGAGCCTATTTGATTCGAGTAATTAAGCATGCGGGTTTCTCATAACCTGGTGCATATGGTCAACTGACTTGAGTTAACCGGCCTAAAGCTTGTTCATGGGTCATTGTAGTCGCTTAATGAAAAAGAGTCTGCACTTAAGATGTAAAAAAAATAATGAACTTACAATATTGAAAGATATGAAAATAAAAAATGCTCAAAGTCAGTATGAGAAAAGAAAATATCAAATACAAAATGAGATTTTATTTACAGGTCCTAATGTACTTTAAATGGTTTGACTTTTATAAGTAGAAGAATACACTTATTGGCAGTGATGTTCAGTATGTCCTTTCTCACAAAATTAAGGTTTGGAGTCCTGCTTACAAAAGATTTGTGACACTTTACACACATGGGGCACTTATACAATTTACTCCACTCTGACTTAAATAGAGTATGCAGGGAGGTTTACTACTTGTTAATTATGCTTGTGCATGTTATCAACTACTTTTTGGACTGTTATATATTCATGTTTAAGATTGAATTTGAAATTGCACCCTTAGTCATTTGTGACAAAATGGGGGAGAGAAAATATACACATGGGGAGCATTCCATGAAACTGAGATTTGATTTGCATCTACATTTTATGTCGAGGGGTTGTTGGGGAGAGACATGGATACATTTGCCTTCTACATAAAAACATTGAGAGTCTGCAGTAAGGGAGAGAATGTGCATTGCATCTGTATTGCATATCATATGCATAGCTATTTGAGTTTTGATGTTTTGTGATGTTAATGTTTCAGTTGGTGTTTTGAATTGACATTAATGTCACGTCTCAAACTAACATGTTTATTTGTGTTCATGAACTTTTGATTCCTTGTGTCACGTGCTTTTACACTGGGTATTTAGTTTTTGATTTTAGGAAACAGGTATACCAAGAAATGCAAAAAGTAGAAGAACTTGAAAAACTTGGGTAGTATAGTTTGGGGAGTTTATTTTATTTCCTTGGCTTTGTATGGTTTTGTCACAAAATGCCAAAGGGGGAGATTGTTAGGTCCAATGTTGTAATTGGCATGTTTGTGAACAAAAGGATCTTATTTGACCACTTGTAAAAAGTCAAGGACTTGGATGCAATTTTTTATAGATGAGTTAAGTTAGGGTTAGAGGTTGAAAACAAGGAAAACGCGATGCCGGAATTTTGCTAGACTGTCGCCAAGATTTGGCTCGAGTGTCACAAAAACATAAACTGTGTCTTCCGCCTTTCGCCTTGCAGTCGCTCGAGTAACATGATCCCTCGCTCGAGTGACATAGTTATGCGGCCAAACCAAATTCGCGAATTTGAAGAGTTTTACACGGCCCATAACACCAGACACCTAAGCGTCCCCAACACTCGTCTCCCTAGACACAACGATCTCGACTTGTAATAGTAGCACTCCAAATTACAAAACCCAGCGAACATACTCACATTTTGATCTCTCTAAAAAAATTTGGAGGATTAAAATGCACGAAAATAACTTTCGAGGTTGAATTCCAAAATATGAATAATGCATTGACGAAAGAATAATTTTGGAAGAATAATAAAATCAGAATTGATTTTTGAATGAATGAAAACGGGGTATGAGGCCGTTTATATAGAAGCCGAAAAATTGTGTATTCAACAAACACAAACTGTTTGGATAGGCAGTTTAACTGTCAACCGCCATCTTCTAGAAGGAATCATATGTCACGCACATAAAATTCAGGGAAAAATAACATAAATAAATATATTATTATTTTAAATAATAATAAAATAATGTAATTCAAATATTATTTTACTAAAAAATATATATCAACTTAGCCCAAGCCCCGTGCTGGTCAGACGACGACGACAGCGCGCGTGTTAACTTTGGCTCACCTACTAGCATATAGGTTCTCTTCTCTTCAAAGACTATTGGTACCCATTGGGACCCAAACCCAAGTTTCAAATTTGAGCAATATAAATTGGTTTATACTCCTCTAGATTTCCTATGTAGGATTGGCATTTTGCAATTTTCCACCAATTTTTACTCTAATTTTTTTCAACTTCAAGTGGTCATCATTTGACCTTAATTTCTCATTCACCCTAAATTGATTTTGAGAAAATAAATACATTACATTAATCTACTCAATGAGTAGAACACACTAGTTCAAAGAATTCTTTTGTCCAACCAACGGAACTCACTAAAATAATTGGCCAAAAGTTGGTCAAACCAACTAATAAAACCCATTTTTTCCAACATTTGCAATATTATCGTATTATGTTTCCTCATTATTTTATCATTTTTTCTGTGTTATTCTCTATCAGCTTTATTTTACATGTATGGATTTTGGAGAAAAGCAGTAAAAAGAAGCAATTCGGAAATAGTTAGTCTCTTTTTGAACCTGATCAAGAAGCAACAAAATCTATTTTAAATTGACACATCTATGCTTATCCATTGACTGTTTACGTGGTGATAGGTAACCGTCACATTCTTCAATATATCATATGCATCAATTACCTTACTATCACATAGATTGTTAATGGATAACCACGATTTATAAATAACTTTAACTCGAATTATTTAATCCCAAATTATAATTCTTTATATAACCACAAGTGTAATAAATCCACTCATAGTAAATTGACACACATTATTCCATCGAATGACTATTCTTTAAAACATTTTTATTTGAATAAATATCAGTGAAGTCAATTTTAACTCACTAGACATGAAATCAACTCTCAACTCTCGTTTTTTGCATAAAGTTATTTGTACAATTTTTATTGACAACTTTGTTGACAGTTCATGTATTGTCAAGATTCGTGCTGTTGATTTAAAAAATAATTTTTCAAATGGATGGTATAAATTCTTGGATAAATCTATTTGCACATAATACCCCTTACCGAATTGTTTACCCCCTCTCACATGCACTTGGGCCCCGCGTGAATTAAAAAATCTCAAGATGTGGTCCCCACCCCCTATTGTGAGTAGTCGGTAGGGAATTATGTAAAAAAATTCGGTACATGTAGCATGATCCTAAATTTCTACCAACTCATGATTGTGAATAAAGTTGTCATCCATGATTGTCCATATAACATGATTTCCCCTTTTTAACACCTAAAGTTGGGTTCTTCCGAGTGTATGTGACCAAGACAGCAAAACTTTAAATCCTCTCTTTTTTCGTAAAATTGCTTACATTCTCTTCATTTTATCAAATGCAATAACTAATTGTACGAAATCAAAATTTCTTTCTTTAGCAGCTACAGTCCAACACTTAGAATCAAATTAGAGCCCAAATGACGAAGAGTCGACTTTGAAATGTTAAATTTTTTGGTCAATGTGATCTCTTGAAGAAGATATTATAGAACTTTATTTGATATGCATCTTCATTATGAAGGCCTCTGATGGCATTATTTTGCTTTGGATGTAAGCCAGCAGCTATCTCCTTTGGAAGAGAAGCTACTGCCACTACTTGCATATTTACAGCCATAAATTCATTCAGTCAAATTGTGTGTTTTTCTACTGGATAAGACTAGACAGTATAACAATTTTTTGTTTTAAACCGTAATACCAAACACATCTGAGTTTAGTTTGAACTGTTTACAAGTGTTCCATCGTCCATGGTTTCACATTGCTCGTAGACTATGAATTCTCTGTTTCCGAATAAGGGCTTCGATTTTTCTCCAAATCTTAGGCGGATTATATTGAGGTTTTCTTCAAGGTCTTTAAAGTATTTGGCTTCTACTAAATCAGAGTGCCATTGCTGCTCCAATGATGGCAAAAATCAAAGGAAATTAGTGAGATAATATATTTACAAAATGATGGCAAGGGGGTGCGTTGAAGATAAACCTTAAATAAATAAATAAATTTGTTCATTTCTAATAATTTAAGCTTTCAAACGAGCTTTTTTGAACTGAATCAAAATAACGAATGAGAAGAGTCATCGTTATGTAGTTACGAAGGATTTGATCTCATGGGATACTTCTTTAAATAGAGCAATACATCGAAAGAAGTGACAAGAATAGAATTCACACAGTCGATCCTAAATTTCTCACCTTGGCAGCATCAATCGCATTATCCAATGGATTGCTGAGGAGAGACTGACTTAAGTAACCACCGGCTGCGAAATGTGTGAAGTGATCCTGACCTGTGTTTCGATACCTCAATTCCATTGTCTATGCCAAGTACTTTCCAGCCATCATTAACACTCCGAACACTGTTTGAATCTGAAGCTGCGAGTAATTCTTGTATGCAATTCTCACTTGCATAGAACACATATCTTCTCAGAGATTCCTTACTTATAGACCTTCAAAATCAATGATTCAAATAATTAAAAAAAAAAATCTTAAATCCACAACATTAATTGAATTCCTCATAGATTTTCTTGAAACTATTAATGAGGTACTTACCAGGATCCAGTGCAGTTTGCTGGGCTAGTGCCCATTTTGGGCTTTTGTTTCTTCGATGCAGGATAGTTGAAGATCAAGAGTCCTAGATTGCTTTTGAGAGGGATATTTGAAGGTGAAAAATGTTGAAGAATAAATTCAAATAAATAATACGTCAAATGTTCCCAGATCAAGTCTCGTCACTATTCATTTATGAAAATTGTTGCAGTTGATTAAAAATAAATCTGGTCTTATACATGAAGGACGTGTTGAAGACTCAATTTAAATAAATAGATTAATTTTGATAACTTAAAATTTTATACAAGGTGGATCATAATAATAATGTGAAGTGGAGGATGAGATAGATGCACATGCTATGCCTGAAGCATCTCCATGATTAGAACTACATTTCTTTATCTTAACTCCTAACTTTCTTTTTCACTTAAAACCACAAACACTCCATGTGCATTATCATTCCAACCCCTTAATTTTGCAGCTATTTTGGAACTTAAGAATCTTTCCTTTTGTCTAGGAAAAGAGCGATGGATAAGGAATAACTAACTACGGAAGGAAAACTATAGTTATTAGACTCCACTCGATCAACACATCGGGTCATTGGTTGAGTGCAAGGGAATTGTGTAGCTTCTCTTGTGCTCGACCCAAGATCAAGTCACCACACAATCTTTTTGGGAGGAATAACAACGAATATGCCCAATAGAGTAACCGAGACTGGTCTTTTGGTTCAAAACTGTATGGTCTTTTCCGATTTTGATTAAATTAGGCTACACAAGTAATAAACAAAGGTCAGCCTAATTATAGAAAAAATACTAGCATTTTTTAACCCTCTTTAAGATTATACCTAAACTTGCCTGGTTCTAAGTGACAAAAACAAGAACACTCACTCACAATACAGTCCCCCCATACCACCCCACCCCACCCCACCCCCATCACACTCCCCCACAGGCTAAATGATAAACCATAACACAGAAATGGACAAAACTTAGTCTTAATTTGTTAATCTGTTCTTTTGACTGTATTATTGCGGAGCAGAGGCTGTACTTTCTAACGAAAACATGCATTCTCTGCACTTAATAAAGATAATATAGAGATGATATTCTGGTCTCAAATTTTAAGTTCAATATTTCTGCATTCGTAAAACAAGTTTTGGACATTCTAGATGATGACCCTTTCAAGTTGAAGATCAATTTTAATGGTATCTACTTTCGTCCAAAAGAAAGACACACTTCTCGGGAAATGAACCAAAAGACAACAATGCTTTACGGAAATCTCAAAATCCATTGAGTTGAAACAAAAATTATCGAAGAAAGATCTTTATACCGACTTAAAACTGTTAAAAGTTACAGAAAAGACAACCCTTACATAAAAGTACTTGAGATCACAAATCTGCATTCCCGAGGAAGCCATTTGTTTTAAGACTATGAATCGTGTCCCTAACAGCATCTTCAACAGGCGTGAAACTCAATCCCAGATCAATCAGTCTCTTTGCTGCATCTTTGCAACCCACCAGACCCGGTTGTGTTTCGCCTGTAAATCTGTATTTGACGTAAAAGTTCAACGTGTGACTATGATGAAAACGATGTATAAACAGAAGAAACTTCGGAATGGAAGATTAAGAGAGAAATATATACATAGAATCTGAATCTTTAATGCTGGATCTTTACAGCACAAATGAATTCACTAATGTTTTTCAGAAAGTCAATTGTCGAACTAATTATATTGCCTAATTCCAGAAGGCACAGGGATTGAGGAAAAGCTACATAACTTCAAAAATTATTCCTTAAGTACAGAAATTATTCACAGATTTTTAACAGAAATTTGAAATTTGTGAATCTTGTCCCTCAATCTGTGTTTTCTCTCCTCACTTGATTGAATCCCTTTCCTCCAATTCAAATTCTTGTGTGATTTCTGTGAGTATTTCCTGTACTCATAGCAGGACTCTTCAAAAAGTGCAATACAAGGGAAATTCTGAAATACTTTGGTTCATCTTAAAGAACATGAGAGCCAATTCAGTCATTCAGATACTCTGCAGCCTAAGCAGCCATCTATAGTTTTCTTCACTAGTTTACGGAACTACACGTTATTACAAACAAAAATGCTGCAATAAAATAGAGGGATAACATACCTGTGAACTGGAAACTCGGGGAAAAGTTCCGAAACTTTCTTTGCAAAGTCAGCAAACTGATGAATGCCATTGGTACAAAGGTATCTACCAGATGCAGCAGGGGTTTCAAATAGCAGTACTTGTGCTTTCGCTACGTCTTTGACATGCACAGCCCCAAGCCAGTGGTACTCCTGTGTATCTTCCGATCCCTGCAGGAGCTGTTGCAATACTGCACAACTTGCATTTAAACCCGGTTGCAAAAGTTGGCCAAGGCATGTAGATGGATTGATTGCTACCACGTCCAATCCATTTTTCTTTGCAAATTCCCATGCAGATTTCTCAGCCAAAGTTTTCGAGACAGGATACCATTTCTGCCACAATCAACAACATGTAAAGACAACTTCAGTTAAGTGGAACTCTAGTTTGCAATTACAAATCATGCCTTTTGATGAACTAGTCATTTGTGCTACACATTGACCAATAGACAGGGGCGGAGGGGAGGGGGGTCCTGGGGGGGGCCAGGACCCCCCCNTCAAAAGATTAGTAGTTTCTTTTATATGTTTCTTGATTTTTTTGTGAAGTCTTCGTACATTAATTTATATTCATTTTTTTCATTTTTTAATCACAAAGTACCAACTTTCCTCATTTTAACAGATAATGTTTCAAAAAACTTTTCGGGGGCAGCCCCCACCCCTTCAACTTCAGGACCCCCTAGTTTGAAGGGCTGGCTCCGCCCCTGCCAATAGGGACATTTGCCCAAGCTCTGATATAGTGTTTAGTATTTTCATCTTTATTTGAAGTGAGATTCTACATTTATCACGACCTTTGTAAGATGGTGACTCGCATTGTGAATGCAAATCTTGAAATATGTCGGAGTATAGTTGAAACAAATTACTCATTTGAGCTTGATGAACTCCCAATCACATTTAAAGGAAAATTTCTTTAAAACGTGATCATCACAAATTATTTTAGGCATTCAACAGATGAGTAAATAAATCTTTTTACATGTTTGCTAGACGAGATACAACTTATTTTCCTAAAGTCTATACTATCGAGTAGTGCATAACAAACATGTCCAAGTGTATAACATAATTTGGAGGGGAGAGAGAGAGAAAGAGAGAGAGAGAGAGACCTGGCGAGACTTGCAATAGTCAAGGTCAGTCCACGAGGATTCATCGAACACTTCGCCCTCAGGCCAGCCTGGGTTAGGAACCATGGCGGAGATGGAGGAAGTGAGCACCACGCGCCGCACACCAAATCTCTTAGCGGCGGCTAGTACATTCATCGTGCCGTGGACAGCAGGGTCCACAAGCTCCTTCTGTGGGTCCACGGGGTCCTCCAGCGAGCAAGGAGACGCCACGTGGAAGACACCGCCTCCAGTGCAGCCCTCAATGGCTTTAGCCACTGAATCAGCATCAAAAAGACTTGCCTCGTGAACCACCAGTCTGACGGCGGGGTTATTGGCGCCGGGGAGGGAGAAGAGGTGAGAAGGGTCGGAGCCCGGCATTATAGAGAGGTGAATGGTGGTGTAGCCACAAACCAATAGGGTTCTCACTAACCATGATCCTATGAAGCCATTGGCTCCGGTGACACACACTGGTACTTTGACGGAGTCAGCGCTAGTGGTGATTGTTGCGGCGGCGTTTACTGTTTGTTCTGCCATTTTAAAGTCAGTTTGATTTGATCAAATTGGAGCAGACGACGATTTATATAGAATTGGAAGTTGCAGAAATACATTCTTAATCTGCCACAGATTTGTTACCAGTCAGATTTCGTTTTGATTGGGAGTCGGATCTTCCGAGGTTCATCAGTTAGACTGTGTTTGATGCACGTTCAGATGGAAAGAATACATTTTTTTGTAATGTGACGGTGAATATGTGGTTGAAAATAAAAGAAAAATTATAGATGTAATGAAAAAAATTATTTTATTGAAGAATGTGTGATTGAAAATAAGTAGAAAATAAGAATGAAAAGGAGAATCAAGCTCAAACATGAGGTTAATCTCTATCTATCTAATAATCTAATTCGGATATGAACTAGGTACACGGTAGGAAGGATCTTGCTATACATTAAGATTTAGATAATGTGTTACCTAATGCAAACTTCACTTTAAAGTGTGACCTTTTCATTCAATTTTTTTCCCACAATATCATTTTCAATAATGGCTTACTTTTATGTACAAATACCAAAACACTAATAACTATTTTTTAAAAAAATATTTATACATTCTCCTAATATGTTTTAAACCTATTTTAAATATTCTCTTGATGTTTTTTAAGGATCTGTTTTACGGAAATTTTTTATTAATAGATTTCGTTAAATATGGATTTTTATTTATTTATTTATTTATTTTTAAGAATGAGTGGTTAAAAAAATATAAGAAAACTGTTGATCTAGGTACAAAAATATTTTATTAGGAACACTACCAAAGCAATCCATACTTGCTCGAGCACAGGGAAATTGGTCTTTTAGCACGTCTAAAATGGTTGATTATATTCAAGTAGTTATTTTGAAAACTAGAAATAGTACTACATTGTATATAAATAAAATGGTAATTAGCACATAACATCCCCACATTTCACTGTCATTGTGAAAAACGTCCATACCTTTCATTTTTTTTTTTTTTTTTTTTATTTTTACTATAATTTTTATCTTTNTTTTTTGACATTTTCACTATAATTTTCATCTTTCATTGCGCAAAAGGTCTTTTTTTATCAATTTTCTCAATTAAAAATTGTGAAATGACAAAAATATCATTCCCTCTAAATAAAACAAAAGGGAAATAGAAAAAGCTAATTGCAAACATAGTCCCAACTTTTTTGAAAAGCGCAAATGAGTCTCAAATAAATTATGGAAAGGGTAATTAGCACATTATATCTCTACCTTTTACTATTATTGGAAAAAACATCCATACATTTTTTTTTTTTTTTTTGACATTCTCCCTTAATTATAATTTGATGGCGCATACCATCATTTCTATCCATTTTTATCAAATTTCTTAATAAAAAACAACGGAATGACGAATATACCCTCATATTTAAATTAAAAAAAAAAGTTAAAAAATTAATTGCAACCATAGTCCCAATTTTTTTTAAAAAGTGAAAATGAGTCCCCAATAATTTATTTAAGAATTTTTATGAAAAGTGCAAACGGGTCTCAATAAAATTTATTTAAAAATTTTAAAAATAAAAATAAAAATAAAAAGTGTAAATGAGTCCCAAATAAACTATTAAAGAATTAGAAATTAAAAAATCTATTTTTTATTTAAGTATGAGGGTATATTCATTATTTCATAGTTCTTTATTAAGAAATTTGATGAAAATGGATGAAAATGATGGTTTGCACAATTAATTGTGTAATTAAGGGTGAAACTGTCAAAAAAACAAATGAAATGTATGGACTTTTTTCTCAATAAAGGTGAAATATATGGACATTATGTACTAATTACAATTTTAATAATTTATTTGAGACACATTTGCTCTTTTCAGAAAAATTGGGACTATGATTGCAATTAATTTTTTTTAAAAAAAATTTAAAGGAAATAGTATATTCGTCATTTCACAATTTTTAATTGAGAAAATGGATGAAAATGGCTTTTTGCGCAATGAAATGTGAAAATAAGGGTGAAAATGCCAAAAAATGAAAAGTAGAGACTTTTTCACAATAACAGTAAAAGGTGGGGGACGTTATTTGCTAATTACCCTAAATAAAATTTTGATACTTGAGTACTACTAGTCAAGTAACCGATACTTGATTGAGCAAAGGAAGTTGGTATTTTAACGTGTTTAAAATTATTGATTATATTTAAGTACTAATTTTAGAAGTTTGAAATATCACTCCATGCCATATAAACATGTATACAGATATGAATGAAAGTATTACTCCTAAGTCCTGCTTCCTATCCAACAAGTGAGATTAATTTTATTTTTTCTCTAAATTACGAAATAAAAATGAGAGAGAAATGTGGGCTTCGGTTTGGAAAGTAGTGGGCTTTTCTGAGTGTAGGCCGCAACAATTAGGCTAGGGATGGCAATTCGAACCATTAAAATCGAAAATCATGGTTAATCGAACCGAATGAGGCGAAAAAAATCGAACCAATTGTACAATGGGGTGGTTATAGTTTTTATTTTAATGACCCGGTTAGGGGTGAGGTGAGTATGGTATTTAGCAACGGTGCCTCGCTCCGAACCGATTACTCGTTAAAAAAAATTAATTGGGCAATTGGACTTTCTATTATTCTTTCCCAAAATTAATTGAGCAATTTTGACAATTGGAATTCCCCAAAATTCTGGCCCAATTAACATTACTAGTAAAACCCTTAACTCAGTAACTGACGTAGCGGAAGATTATAGGAAAGATGAACAACCTCACAAAGATGAGATAAAACTCACGAAAATTCTTATTCAATTCAATACTCCACCTCAAAGGACTTACAATGCCTTAAATAGTAAAACCCTTAGTAAAATTTGGAAAATAAATAATAAAAATACAAAAACGATATTTTTTCATA